TGTAGTTATTATTACTGCCGTTGTTGTTGTTATTGTTGGAATTGTTGTGATTTCCACGATCGTTGTTGTTGTTTCTGTTATTGTTGTTGTTGTTATTATTGTAATTATTTCGGTGATAGTTATTTTTATTACGATTGTCAAATTTGTTGTTCTTATTACGGTTATTGTATGAAGTACTCGGTCTATCTTGTTTCAAATTGTTTATTTCAACAATCATTTTTGATATTACCTCTTTCGGTGATTCGAATTTAGTTGCTGCAATTACCGCTTTGACTGTGTCGTTACGCGCGTTTTTTCGGCATAATTCGACAGTTTTTTCGATTGAAAGTTCTTTGGCTTTAGCCTTAGAAAAACCTTCAATTAACAAGCTTCGTCTGAAATCTTCGGCTAATTCTTCGGCTCTTTCTGAAAATTTTACCAAATTAGTTTTATCTGTGCGAAGTGCTAACATGCGCCCTTCGATCACTTTTGATGAATCAATTTTTATATTTGATTTTAAATCACTGATTATTTCATCAACATTCGCCGGTTCGTCGTTAATTGCTTCGCGAGCAATGCCCTCTAATCTGGACTTTACGAGTTTTGTAAATACATCTTTGTCATCATCTTCGACCATTTCTTTCAACAATTCGACGGAGTCAATGAATCCGTTCAATTGCAATGGGTTTCCGTCGTATTTGTTTAGCATTGAGGCTGCTAAGCGCAGGAATTCTTTTCTGGTCATGGCCATTTTGTTTACTGTGCTTTGTGTTTGTTCTTCGTTAGGTGCTATGTCGTTTGTATTAAATTGTTCGTCTGTATTAATTTCTTCGTTTGTATTTATTCGATCGTTTGTATTCGTCAGTAAGTCTGTGTTTTGATTGTCTGTATTAGAAGTTAAAGTTTTACCACCAACAGCGCCATCTGCGTCTGTTATTAAAGTAGCGTTATTTAAAAGTTCCGCACTTCTAACAAAAATCTCGGAATTTAATGATTCGTTAAAAACTATTTCGGTACTGTCAATCAAATTTACGTCTATTAATTCATAATTTTTTGGTAATTGCAATGACAAATCCAATGCTTTTAATGCTCGTAAAATTCGTAATTTTATGTTTCCAATCGTCCTTCCAAAATCTGCTTGCGTTTTATAGTCAAATTTGTTTATATATGCTCCTATATATGTAATATAGTTGTTATAAGCATTTGCTAATTCAGTTTTATATGCATTAATTCTTTGTAATTTTTCTTGTGCATCAGTTGGAAGTGGACGATTAACTTTGTCTTCGTAATTTATTAATTTTTTATTTATATCCTCAATAGATTTTTTATACTTATTATATGTATCAATATTAAATTGACTCATTATTCAAAAATAAATCTATATTATTATATATATATTTTTTTTTTATGTTTTTTTTTCAAGAAAATTTACTTATATTTATTACTTATCTATTTGTTAAATTTGGATCTCCACCTGGTACTTGATAAATTATTTGCTGGTCCACTCGGTATTTGATAAATTATTTGCTGGTCCACTCGGTATTTGATAAATTATTTGCTGGTCCACTCGGTATTTGATTAGTTGATTCCTCTAACATCATTTGGTATTTGATAAGTTATTTTTATTTTACCACCCGGTGTTCATTGAGTGAAGTTTAGTATTTGATGAGTCTATTTTAATTTGTCACTTGATATTCGATCAGTCAATTTTATTTTAACACTTGGTATTTGTCAAATACTATTTGATAAGTTAATTTTATTTTAACACTTGGAATTTGATAAGTCAATTTTATTTTAACACTTGGTATTTGTCAAATACTATTTGATAAGTCAATTTTATTTTAACACTTGGAATTTGATAAGTGTAATAAGTTATAAACTGACACGGATGATTTTGAATTAATTTTATT